ATCTCAAAAAATTGAAGTCGGTTCCTCCCAACGCTTTGATAATAATACTGCACCAACGGACCGGGAATTTTCACGGGCAGACGCGGCATAACTGGGTGCGGGCGGTAAACCGTCAACCAGGCTACCGCCAGGGACCTCGTAGAGCTCCGTACACACATATGACAACGCTGTCAATGCGGACAGCGAGCTCCCTGGGATATCAGCTTGAAAACTCGGAAAAAACGTCGTTGGGGTCTCAACGGAAAGTCAGCTCCACAAAAGTTTCTGCGCTACAGAGAACACATAATTCCCCAGCGAACGCGACATAAACTACTCCAGTTGCAGAGAAACTGCACCCCCGAAACGCACTGCGAAATCTCTGATAATTCCCCTAAAACCTTAATTTTCTTCTTCGCTTTTAAAACAATATGATATGTTTGAGCTCGGTCTCTGGCAGTGAATCGACAGAAATATTGCAGCTGCAGCCCTAACACTTTCACCAGCGAGCACAGCGTGATCCAATGCTCCGTTAAACAAAATCTTGGATTGCCAAACGAATTTCCAAATCCCCCACAATCTTCCAAACACCGCAACAAGAATGCTTCATGTCAACTTGGAGTCGGCACCTTCATATGTTTTGATGCGGACCTGGAAATTTCATGGGCAGACGCGGCATAACCGACTACAGGTGTGAAACAGATTGCTTCTCAAAGGGAAATGTAAAATCTCTTGCAATGTTCGCCCAGACGACCGAAAACATCCCACATTGTCCGCCCTGGCCGGGTCCGTCAACTAGCTCCACCGTGCGCCCGAGAATTCCTCTAGATAATCGCACCGAAGAGCTCTACGAAGTACCTACTACAGGTGGTCAAATACGCTTATCTCGAAACGAATTGGCTCAAGCATTGGCTCAAGGTGTTCAGAGATCAAGGTTCATTCAACACCCGTGTCCGGGACCCTCCAGACCCGTGTCCGGGACTCTCTCCAAGACCCGTGTCCGGGAAACCTTCCAAGACCCGTGTCCGGGAATTGCTAAGCATGCCAGAAAAAAAAACATTCTCTTGTGACGCCCGAAGGAGTGCGAGGACGCCGAGTGGAATCTCGCCAACGTAGTCCTCTTCAAGAATTGGACGGCGTGGAAGACGCACCGCCTGGCGCATCTATCCCAGAAGGCGCTGCTGGAGGACCACGTCAATTGGAATTCTCCGGAAGACCCGCAAGCAGTGCAGAACCCGGATCACCCGCAGAAGTACCCGGTGAGGACGACCTCGATGACGATGACGAGGACGAGGAGCCCGTGACCACGAAGTCGATCAGGAAGATGTTCAAAAAACATTTGGCCCCTACTGTGCGTGTAGTTCGTAGTGTCGGGTACGAAGTGAAATAATTGAAGATAACGGTCGAAGATGTAGACGTACGCGTCACAAACATGGAATCGAACATCGAAGATATGGAAGGTGATTTTGAAGATATTCAAATACGCATGACAAATTTGGATCACACCCTGAAAGAACATGAAAGAACATATTGACCCTATTACCAAAGAAATGGGACATACTACGCCGAGGTCGGCATCAAATTTCTCGCACAATACGGCGAACGAGTACCACTACCACGGGAAGCGCGCAGTCACGGCAGTAATTGGTAACCTGGACAACTTCGGTTCGCTCGAGGCCGCATCCGCATACATACGGGACGAACTCAACAAATTATCCGGGCCGATTCCGATGAACATTTACTCCAAAGGCGACTTCAAGATTATCATGTTCGCGGAATTTGGGGCCATGGTCGACAGGGACACGGCAGTTGCACAACTACGCAGCGCACGGCTACAACGGGGAGGCAATGCTGTTTGGTGCACACCAGACCGGGAACCCGCAAAACGGGCAGCTCGAAACTTATGCTTTGGTCTAACATACATTCTGGAGCAAGACAGGCAGAACACATACAAGATACAAGTCTCCGATCAAGCAGAAATATCAAGTACATGTTGGTGGACAATTAGCCCTCACAGTAAACGTCAATAGCACTACAAACGAGCGCATTTGGGAGAAAGATTGGCAAGATTGGGGGGAGCTACAGAACCATGCAAAACCGGTGGAACTATTGCAACAATGCGACACGATATTGCAAAGATCTTCCATGGGATTGAAAGGTGGAGCCAAAGGGGCGCCCAAGGGGCAATGGGACATGCGGCGGGCAACCGAGTCTCTCAACACGAGGCCCGTTGCCGAGACGCCGGTCTTCCGCTCCCCAACCAATCTTTCAATGAAGCCAGCCAATGCTTGAGCCAATTACGTTGCAACCACTTCTCAAACATATATTTTCTCAAAGCTTAAAATTGGATATGCTGAACTCTATGTGGACAACGACTCGGACAAAGATGCCGACCTGCCGCAAAGACCGCTGGACGTTCAAGGAGAAGCTGTGCCGGGCAAAGTCACTGGACCTACCACATGCACAACTACGACCTCTTCCGCACCTCCTCCTCCTCCACATACAGACTTCATCGGCCAGGTGGGCGCGGGCAAAGATACCAAACCTACGAATGGCGGTACTGGCGAGTCTTTGGATCAATACCCGTATGCTTGCTCTGCATCTTCTGTGACAGCACCACATCACGGACTACTTCCACCACGACGTATACCTCCTTCCGAGCATGCGCACGGACAAAGTAATGGAGAGTGTTGTGGTGAGTCTCCCTCAGCATGCTTTTCCTGGGGGAAGCCAAGAACTTCCTGTTCACCATGCTGTCCTAAGCGCATTGGCACGTGGAACATCGAGGGCTTACGCGGAGACTCGGCGATCAAGATGGAAGAACTACTCCAAACAATGATGAAAAGAAACATTGACGCATTATGCGTTCAAGAGACACATTTGCATGGAGCGGAATACTGTATAAAGGATGGATATCTTATTTTTCTTTCTGGGCATCTAGACGAAAAAGTCCGCGCATATTCTGGAGTTGGATTTCTGGTAAGCCCAAAAGTTACGAATGCCATAGTCGCTTTCAAAGCATGCTCAGATCGATTGGCTACCCTGCGAATCAGAATCAAAAGTGGGATGCTCACGCTGGTCACCGCGCATGCCCCACACAGTGGCCACGACTACGACGTGCGCCAGTACTTCCATCAAGAGCTGCAGCATCTGATCCCGGCTACCACGGCCCACAGCACCACAATGGTTTTTGGAGACTTCAATGCAAAACTATTGCGACGAGGCGCTGGAAAAGATGACGTTATAGGCATGCACGTGTTCAATACATCACTGGAGTCTCCAACTTCTACAATGGACAAACAAAACAGACAAGTCTCAGATCGACAACTCCTCTTGGAAACATGCGTGGCCTGGGCTCTTGCGGTTGCGAACACCTTCTACGACCACCCCAATTCTATGAAAGTAACCTTCCGCGACCTGGGCGTCAACCCGATGGCCGAATCTATATATATATATATATGTATACACACACATATATACATATAGACATATATATAAAATATATCAACGTCTAATGTTTCACAAATCGATCATGTCTTATGCCATCAATATACGCTGGGAAACATCGAAACTGTTGGAGCAGCCGTACAGGCGCACTTAATACCTGCCATTTTCTTCTCATGGCGGATATGGACATCGAGTTCAGCACGCAGCAAACACATCGAAAGAAACGCATGGACAAAACTACTTTGCAGAAGGACGACGTCAAGCACAAATTCATCAACGAGTTTATCAATGCAACTGTTCATCAAGATCGTTCTGGCGACCTGGACCGCGCTGCGGATATTTTACAACGCGTTTTTTCTCAAGCGGCCGCTGTTCTGCCAACGCCGGATGCCCCGGCAAAGCGCCCATGGATCAGTACAGCTACCCTCGGACTGATTGCAGAACGAAATGCTTGTAGACACAATGGCAATTACGACAACGAGCAGAAGCTGAACAACTACGCAAGAGTGCGAAGACAGACAAATCAACATGGCTCAACACTCTAACTTCGACTGGAAGTTGGGATGCGGTTCGTCACTTACGCAAGCCAAAGAAAATCTAACATGCTACGATCCAGCGCCCTGATGGCACAATCGCAGACACATCAGAAAGACCAGATGTAATGGCGGACTATTTTGAAACCGTGCAATGGGACTACAAGTTTCCAGATGACCGGCCAGGGCACCACGAACACCTAGGAGACGCGCTTCCTGTTGATCTTCGCCCGTCCACCGCAGAGGAGCTCAAGGCAGTCTTAGGCAAACTGAAAAACGGGCAATCCGCAGGACCCGATGAGGTACCACCCGATTTTTGGAAAGTATTGGCTTCAAATTCGTTTGCGTGCGATGTTTTACTTGACATGTGTCGACAATGCTGGTAGCAGAAGGCTATACCCGAAATCTGGAAGCGAGCCAATGTAGTTCTATTATTTAAGAAAGGCAGCGCGGCTTTACCAGCAAGCTACAGACCTATCTCACTTTTGCCAGTCGAGTACAAGGTTCTGGCGGCTCTGCTACACCAGCGACTATTGCAAGGCGGAGTCGAACGAAGACTACGAAACTCTCAATGTGGATTCAGACCAAGGCGGGGGACAGCAGATGCTCTTTTGCTGGCCAGGCGCATTATCGACGCAGCACAAAATAACAACAATGGGGGTATCATTCTTCTTCTTCTGGACTGGGCAACGGCGCTCGACCAGATCAAGCCCGATTGTATGTGTGATGCTCTGCTCTGGAACGCTTCGGGATACCAGAAGATATGGTCACAATGATTCGCTCCAAATATAGGGCGACGATATCTATACATATCCACTGCTCCAGGCCAGGCCAATCCTGGGCCCAGGAGCTGTATGTATGCCTGCCTGGCCAGGCCAGGAGGGCGTATACACCGCTCCTGGGCCCAGGATTGGCCTGGCCAGGAGCAGTGGATATGCATAGATCTCGTCGCCCCAATATACGAAGCCAGGTATTTTACGATATTGGACCACACGGGCCATCCTACCGAAAGAAAGCAGCGGGCAGGAATGGCGCAAAGGGTGCCCTCTCTCGCCGGACTCGTTCAGCATAGCCCAAGCTGCTATTCTGCATGACGTTTTTGGCAGCGTGGATCTGCTGGAGGAGCCGCCCTGCGTGGTCACGCGGGACATCCTGTACGCTGACGACACTCTTCTCCTCTCACACCACACAGACAATCTGCAGTACGTGCTGCTGGAGATTATCACTGAGGGTGCGAAGTATGGATTGGAACCCACTCTGCTGAACTTGAAGTCGTCATCTCCACTGCTCGCGCAAACATCCCAACCACCCACCCGCAACTTGGTTTGCAAAACCTCTTAAGACCGACTACGACGACACCGACGACAACGACTAGGACGATACCGACGACGTCTCCGACGACTTCGACGACGACAACGACGCCGACGCCGACGCCGACGACGACGACGCCAACGAAGGCGACGACGAGGGAGGAGGAAGGACGACGACGGCGACAACGACGACAACGACGACAACGACGAGGGAGGAGGGAGGACGGCGACGACGCGAACGACGACGAAGGAGGAAGGACGGCGACGCCGACGACGACAACGACGAGGGAGGAGGGAAGACGACGACGACAACGACGACGACGACGGCGACGAAATAGGAGGGACGACGACGAGACGCCGACGATGGACGACGACGACGACGTGGGAGGAGGAGGAAGGACGACCACGGCGACAACGACGACGGAAACGACCACGACGCCAAAGAGGACGACGACGACGAACACGAGAAAAGACAGAGGACGACGTAGGCGACAACGACGACGACGACGCGGGAGGAGGGAGGACGGCGACGACGACGACGACGACGACGCAAGAGCGCGCGCGCACGCTTTTGTTGAAAATCCGTGTTGCAAAACCTTGGGTGTTGTAGGTTTTTTGGACGCACGATTTTTGAAATCCTTCCGAAACCGATGGGTTTTGAAGGTTCTCGGCGTACGCCCGCGACGACGCGCGCGTCTGCACTTCGTCCAACTTTTTGCAGAGGATTCTCGCGACGGCACACGCGCAAGGGCGTTCGACAGATTTCGACATGCGCGCGCGCGCGAAGCCCGTTTGGTAGCATTTTGTGAAAATCTTGAAAAACCCAAGGTTTTCACAAGATTTCAAAAAGAGTTCGCGCGGAAGCTTTTTTAGCAAATCCGTGTTGCGAAACCATGTGTTTTTGTATGTGTTTTGGAAACTCGATTGCGAAATCCTTCCGGCACCGAAGGTTTTTGAAGGATTTCGGCATGCGCGCGCGACGACGCGCGCGTGCGCACTTCGTCGTATGTTTTGCAAGGGATTCGTGAAAAAGTGCTATGTTAGAGCAACACATGTCACCGCATAGTGTTTTTTTTTTGACCAGGGAACCTCAGGGGGGGGGGAGCCCGGCCTGCCTGGGATGGTGTGATTTCATATTTAGGATGGACGAGCGCGCAGAAAATATATGAAATCATACTATCCCAAGGGGAAGCGATCAGTCCGGGGGGCGGGGGGTAGAGTCTATTCTCTTTTTAGAAAGGAGAATTCAATTGGGATAAGACATTACAAACGCAAATTTCCACAAACAAGCGCACTGCGCAACCAAATGGCGACGACATCAAATGTGTACGTGAAGCTATATACCTCGGCGGGCTACTTACATGCGACGGGAAAGCGGGACCAGAATTGACGAGACGACTGGGGGAAGCAACGAAACTATTCAAACAAGTGGACAAATTATGGAATCATGCGTCAATTGGGAAAGACCGCAAAATTACAATTTACAAAAGCTGCGTAATTAGCAAGTTGTTGTACTCGTTAGACTCAATATGGTTATTAAAAGCAGACAGAACACGATTGGATGCTTTTCATTGCCGGTGCTTGCGCAGAATTCTTGGTATACCACACTCATACATATCCAGGGTGAGTGACACTGACGTCTTGCACAAAACTGGGGAAGGCACATTGTCCGAAGTCCTACTTGGAAGACAAGAAAAGCTGTACAAACAAATAGTTTTTAAAGGAAACGATTCTCTGGTCAAGCAAATACTTTGCGAAAGCAATGACACGCAAAAAACATGGGCCATACGTCGTCGAAGGGGCCGTCCGCGCCAGCAATGGGCGAAATATGTATACGAGATGACACAATATGTATGAAACATGTCCATCATCATCGTCGTCTTCGTCTTCCTCCTCCTTCTCCTCCTTTTCTTCCCTGGTCCTCCCGGCGCGCATTTGGCGCATCTGAGCTGTCTGCCCACGCGTTTGGCGTGCAACTCGTCCGCCTAGGCATGCGTTTGGCGTGTCTGCAGCGTTGTGCCAACGCGTCCTACTGGATGCATGGCTTCACGGATTGACTGACTGACTCAGAATGTTCGCCCAACCGACCCAAAACTATCACTGGGTGCCAGCGATGAGCCGTCAACCAGGCTACCGCCGGGGACCTCGCAGAGCTCCTTGCACACAGCAGTGCTGTCAATGCGGACAGTCAGCTCCCTGCAAGTGAATCGATATGAGTACCGCGGTTACATACCTAACACGTTCACCAGCAAGTGCAGCGCGATCCAACGCTCAGTAGAAACATCTTGGATCCCCAAGCGACCTGCCAAATCGCTCGCAATCTCCCAAGGACCACAAAACATTATCTTTTACTTCAACTGGACGGCGGTTCCTAAAAGTCTTTTCGTAATGATACTACACCTACGGACCTGGACAACTGGGTGCCGGCGGTAAACCGTCAACCAGGGAACCGCCGGGGACCTCGTAGAGCTTCTAACACACTTAACAGTGCTGTCAATGCGGACAGTCAGCTCCCTAGAGTATCAGCTTCAGAACTCAAGGAAACAATAGCTTGAGGGTATAACGGGAAGTCAGTAACACGAATAGTTTTGAATAGTACAGCAGCTAGAGACCTAATGATTTGCGAGCGAACACACCAAGAACTACTCCAGCTGCAGAGAAACTTGATACACAACGCGAATCGCCAAATTTCTGATAATCTCTACAAAGCCTGTGATTTCTTCAGACACTGCCACGTTTGAGGCCGGTCCCTGGGAGTGAATCGAACGAAATATTGCAGCTACAGCCATCAGGCTGGCGACAGCAAGCGCAGCGTGATCCAATGCTCAGTAAAATAACCTGGGATTTCAAAACGGATTCCCAAATCTTTCAAAATCTCTGAAAACCGCAAAATGAATGGTTCATGTTAACTTGAAGTCGGTTCCGCCAAATGTTTTATATCTGTACATATATATATATGACTGCAGCTACAGACCTGAAACGTTCACTGGCAAACGCAGCAAAACCTACTACAGGTGCAAAAAGACACTGGTTCTCAAAACGAACTGTCCAATCTCTCACAATATTTGTCCAACCGACCCAAAATCCGCACATTTTCCGCCGTGGACGGGTCCATCAACTAGCTCCACCCCGCGCCGGAATTCCTCTAGCTCATCGCGCCGAAGAGCTCTACGAGGCATGTATCGGCAAACGCGGCAGAACCTACTACACGTGAGAAGAATGCGTTTTCCCTAAAACGAACTATCAAATCGCTCACGGTATTCGCCCAACCGGCCCAAAGTTCGCACATTGTCCGCCCTGGCCAGGTCCGTCAACTAGCTCCACCCCGCGCTGAAATTTCTCTACACGTACATACACACAAAGGTGTATATATATACACACACACACCTGTGAACGGCGTGCACTGTATGTATGTATGTATGTATGTACCTGCACACATGTATATATCTATATCTATATATACACATACATACAAACATACAAACCTACAAGCATACACATAGACAACCATACAACCATACAAACATACAACCGTACAAGCATGCAAACATACAACCATACATACATTCATACAAACATGCAAGCATACACACATACAAACATACATACACACATACACACATACATACTTACATACATTCCTGCATACCTACATACCTACATGCATTACATACATACATATATACATACATACACACATACATAGATACAAACATACATACATACATGCATACATACATTCATGTAGACATACCGGCATACATACATACATACATACAGACATACATACACACATACATATACATATACATATACATATACGTATACACATACACATACATATACATATACATATGCATGTACATGTACATGTACATATACATATACATATACATGCATACACGCATACATACATACATGCATACATGCATGCATACATACATGTATGAATGCATGCATACATACAGACATGCATACATATGTGTATATACATATATCTGTATGTTAAACCAATGTTTGGCACATTCCTCCTGTGGAAAGACAGGCCCGACCCAATGCTGGTGCCCGGCCGTGTCCGGGACCTGCGCCGCGTACGCGGGTTTTGCTCGGGCCGCGCCGGCTCCCTCTGGGGGGGGGAGGGCCCTCCGCATCCTGGAGTTCTGCCCGCGGCGGCACGCCGGCGTCCACATCCGCAGCCAGGATCCTCGCCTGGTACTCGGATCCACCGCTCCCCCTCCTCCTCCTCCCCCTCCTCCCCCTCCTCCTCCTGCTCCTCCTCCTCCTCCTTCTCCTCCTCCTCTTCCTCCTCCTCTTCCTCCTCCTCCCTCCCTCCTCCTTCCTCCTCCTCCTCCTCCTCCTCCTCCCGCTGGCGACCATCGGAAGGGCCCTGCGCGTTCAGGAGCTTCGCCTGGGGCGCCGAACACACTAAGAGGGCGCGCTGGTGTCCATCTCCGAGCCCAGGACCTTCGGTGTGTAATCGGGCCCGCACGCGACGGCCGCCTCCAAGGCAAACATGCGTGACTTCGGTGCACCCACGCGCTCCGCAACCAGCATGCCAAGAGACAGGACGGCGCTAGGCAACTAGCCCTGCCACCATACCCAGCCATGCTTCGTTTCGAACGCCCCCTCGAGGTCGAACTCCGCGCGCCCAGTTGCGGGCTGGGCTCTTCGCTTGAGACTTCCTCACTATTTACGATCCTGTCGCTCAATTTGCAAAAGCGGCGGGTGATCTTCAACATGCTGTTCTCGCCTTAGCGCCGCCCGCGTTCGTTACACAAGTGC